TTGGTGGTTATGTAAATATTTACAAAGAACTACAAAAATATATATATATTTATATGGAACGAAAAGCAACAGAAGTTTTTTTATCTGAAATCAACAATAATCTCTCGAGCCCAAGCAAGGTGAGATGGGCTAACAGTAAATTATTTCTTCAAGGTAACTAGGTCATTTTGCTAAAATACTCACTTAAGTCTTACGTAACACTCTAGCTACGGTTTCCAAGAAGAACCAACCCCAACATTGCTCTTCATTTTGCGAAACGAACCGGTTATATTTTTTTTTGCATGTCAATAACAGGTGTTGAAGATGAGTAGAATTGCCGGTAGGAATTGCTGACACATTTTTGAAAACTGAATTTATTTCCGTTTTTTTTTTTTTCGTTGTAAACAATACATTGTTTTGTTTATTTCCAAAGTCAATAGCCTCTGAAAACTTGCCAACTATCAGGTAGGCCCACTTGAACGAGCAGAGATACCTCTTGTCTTATTTACCACAAATTAAAATTGTTAATTAATTGATAAAGCCTCAAAACAATTTAAAAAAAATAAATAAAATAAAAAAGTAATTTGTAGTTTCAAATTTCCTGGGAAATTATAACAAGTAAAAAATTCCGGTGAATAATGTCGCTTAAAATTCTCTAAATACCGAATATCGGAAGATACCGTAATATGGCGGCTTTACGAAAAAGCGGGCCAACATGGCCCATTTACGAACCTAACATGCCTATGGGGAAAATACACATGTGTGCAAAATGTTAGCCTTCTTTCTCAATTCGTTCGGCAGATAGCGTGTTTCAAACAGACAGACGGACATCGCTAAAGCGTCTTAGAATTATACGCTGATCCAGAATATATATACATTGTAGGATCTATCATGAATATTTCGAGGAGTTTCAAACGGAATGACAAAGCTAGCTAATATACCCACCATAGAAGGGTGGGGAGGGGTATAAAAACTTTGCTGGCTCCTTAGGTTTAGCCATTCAAATATGTAAGCATTATTCATAATTCATAAGGACGATATGCCTCACGCCATCATAAAGGCTTTCAATTGTGTGGATGTCGGTGGCGGCAAAAGTAACGCCGTTGAAACTGGCATCACCTACTTTGATGTAATACCATAATTGGCAACCATGTCACATGAAATAGCTCTTGCCATAGTACAACAAGAAAGGTAGTTTAACTTCCACAGTGGGGGGGGGGGGGGGGGGGCAATTCCGCCTTTCCTTACGCCAGATAAAAATGTTTTTATACCCTCAGTCATATGGCTAAAAAGGGGATATATCATTTGATACGGCCAAAATGTGCCTCAGCGAAATAACGCTTTGAGACCCTAGGGCTTGTTGGACAAAATCCGTCGTGGAGTCGTTGTAGCGATTAACGTTCGTCCGTCTGGCTGTCTGCTACACACGATAACTCTCGAAGGGAGTATCCCATTTGATCCAAACTTGGTACATCGTAATGTTATTGTCAAACTTACATTGAATTCGGAGATAGACAATATCGGTCCACTCTTTCTGGCACCTCCCCCACAAAATGTTAAGATTTTCAAAGAAAAAAATTTAATGCACATAAAGAGAAAGAATATTCCGATTTTGCTGCAACTTAACAAATCCTAATATTTGCATCAGTGCTACAGCAGGTGCGTAAATGGACTATATCGGTTCACTCCTTCAAGTAAACCTCCAACACCTCCCCCCCCCCAAAAAAAAAAAAAAATTAAAATTTTTAATATTTAAAACTCTTCTAAAATGTGATGTAAGAGTCCAATCCACTTTAAATTATACACATCACAATATTTTCATTAACCCAAGGTGTGGTTTGAAGATGGAAGATATCGGTCCACTCTTTCTGGTACCTTCCCCACAAAGGGGCCAATATTTTGAATATTCATGAAGCTCATAAAACACTAAATTAACATCCAATTCCATTCAGACTTGGCACAGCTCGATATTTCCATCCACACAAGATCTGTTATAAGGATGGTAGAGATCGGACCAATGCTTCTGGTACCTTTCCCACAAAGTGTCAAAGTTTTGAATAACCAAAACGATCATATAAACCGAAATAAGCATCCGGTTCTCTTCAAATTACACGCATTACAATATTTTTATTAACCTAAGATCTGGTTTGAAGATCTTGCAACATATCAAAATACATTTCTGAGAATCGGTTAAAATTTTGATATAACTCCCACATATATCCTCAACCGATTTGGGGTTAATTGTGCATCAAATGGCCAATATCAGTTCAAATGACCTGAATTTTGGCACATCCGACTGAATTTAGTCTGGAAACAAATACGTCAAATTTGATGAAAATCGGTTCAGATTTAGCTATAGCTCCCATATATATATTTTATCCGATTTGGGATTTTAAGTCCCTCACATGCGTAATATTCATTCGACAACGATGATATTTGGTATTAGTTATCAGATACAGCTCAGAAATACCTCTGCAAAATTTTATCAAAATCGGTTCAGATTTGGATATAGCTCCCATATATATCTCCCACAGATTTCGGGTTAATTGTCCACCAAATGGCCAATATCAGTCTAAATGACCTGGATTTTGGTACATTCCACTGAATTCAGTCTAGAAACAAGTACATTGAATTTGGTGAAAATCGGTTCAGATATAGCTATAGCTCCCATATATATGTTTTATCCGATTTAGGTTTTAAGTCCCTCACATGCGTAATATTCATTCGACAACAATGATATTTGGTATCAGTTATCAGATACAGCTCAGAAATACCTCTGCAAAATTTTATCAAAATCGGTTCCGATTTGGATATAGCTCCCATATATATCTTCAACCGATTTCGGGTTAATTGTCCACCAAATGGCCAATATCAGTCTAAATGACCTGGATTTTGGTACATCCCACTGAATTCAGTCTAGATGCAAGTACATCAAATTTGATGAAAATCGGTTCAGATATAGCTATAGCTCCCATATATATCTTCAACCGATTTCGGGTTAATTGTCCACTAAATGGCCAATATAAGTCCAAATATCCTGAATTTTGGTACATCCCACTGAATTCAGTCTAGAAGTAAGTACGTCAAATTTGGTGAAAATCGGTTCAGATATAGCTATAGCTCCCATATATATCTTTTATCCGATTTGTTGTTTTAAGTCCCTCACATGCGTAATATGCATTCCACAAGAATGATAGTTGGTACCAGATATCAGATACAGCCCAAAAATACCTCTGCAAAATTTTATCAAAATCGGTTCAGATTTAGATATAGCTCCCATATATATCTTCAACCGATTTCGGCTAAATTGTGCACCAAATGTCCAACATCACTCCAAATGACCTGAATTTTGGCACATCCCACTGAATTCAGTCTAGAAGTACATCAAATTTTGTGAAAATCGGCTCGGATATAGCTATAGCTCCCATATATATCTTTAACCGATTTCGGGTTAATTTTGCACCAAATGGCCAATATCCATCCAAATGACCTGAATTTTGGCACATCCGACCGAATTCAATCTAGATGCAAGTACATCAAATTTTATGAAAATCGGCTCGGATATAGCTATAGATCCCATATATATCTTTTACCCGATTTGGGATTTTAAGTCCCTCACATGCGTAATATTTATTCGACAACAATGATATTTGGTATCAGTTATCAGATACTGCTCAGAAATACCTCTGCAAAATTTTGTCAAGATCGGTTCAGATTTGGATATAGCTTCCATATATATCTTCAGCCGATTTCGGGTTAATTTATCACCAAATGGCCAATATAAGTCCAAATAACCTGAAATTCGGTATATCCCACTGAATTCAGTCTAGAAGTAAGTACGTCAAATTTGATGAAAATCGGCTCGGATATAGCTATAGATCCCATATATATGTTTTATCCGATTTGGGATTTTAAGTCCCTCACATGCGTAATATTCATTCGACAACAATGATATTTGGTATCAGTTATCAGATACAGCTCAGAAATACCTCTACAAAATTTTATCAAAATCGGTTCAGATTAGGATATAGCTCCCATATATATCTCCCACAGATTTCGGGTTAATTGTCCACCAAATGGCCAATATCAGTCTGAATGACCTGAATTTTGGTACATCCCACTGAATTCAGTCTAGAAGTGAGTACATCAAATTTGGTGAAAATCGGTTCAGATATAGCTATAGCTCCCATATATATCTTGTATCCGATTTGGGATTTAAAGTCCCCCACATTCGTAATATGCACTCTACAAGAATGATAGTTGGTACCAGATATCAGATACAGCCCAGAAATACCTCTACAAAATTTTATCAAAATCGGTTCAGATTAGGATATAGCTCCCATATATATCTCCCACAGATTTCGGGTTAATTGTGCAGCAAATGGCCAATATCAGTCCAAATGACCTGAATTTTGGCACATCCCACTGAATTCAGTCTAGAAGCAAGTACATCAAATTTGATGAAAATCGGTTCAGATATAGCTATAGCTCCCATATATATCTTCAACCGATTTCGGCTTAATTGTGCACCAAATGGCCAATATCCGTCCAAATGACCTGAATTTTGGCACATCCGACCGAATTAAATCTAGAAGTAAGTACATCAAATTTGATGAAAATCGGCTCGGATATAGCTATAGCTCCCATATATGTGTTTTATCCGATTTGGAGTTTTAAGTCCCTCACATGCGTAATATGCACTCCACAAGAATGATATTTGGTATCAGTTATCAGATACAGTTCAGAAATACCTCTGCCAAATTTTGTCAAAAATCGGTTCAGATTGGATAAAACAAAAATCGAAAGAGGCTATATGCATAACCCATATCTCCCCCGCTATCTCATAAATGCAGAAACCACTTCAGTTCATTTAAGTAGAATTCCAAGCGACAAGAAACGTCACACTGCCAGTGAATTGAAATGACGTATATCTATGTGGGTTGTTGTTGTTGTTGTTTTTTTTTTACTGGATAGCTTGGCAAGTAATTAATTTTATATAAAAGCAACAAAAATTAATTCAATCTACAACAGTCGTCCATTGTAAGTGGCATAAAGAACATCACAGAAAGATCTCAGAAAAAAACGTATATTCTCTTGAGTTGTTGTTGTTTTTTATAGTGGGAGCGTGTGTGTGTGTTTTTTGTAAAAAAAAAATAAATAATTAAAAAATCAAAAAAAAAAACATGAAATTCATTACCGCTGCTATTATTATGGCTGGTCTAATAATAAATGCTGTGGCAGATGTTCGCTATCGCGGCAATGCTGTACATCCAGGTTGTTTGGAAAGCAACTAAGAAAAATATTCTCCAAAAAAAATAAAGTTTCCAATTTGCCTTTCTCTCATTTGTTTGTAGATTATCCCAACCAATGTTACTATGAGGACTTGAAACAGCCCATACCCAAAAATCAATCCTTTTCGCCCATTAATTTGGAGGATCATTGTGAACGTATCTTCTGTCGTTCCGACTATGTTCTCGTCATGGAATAGTAAGTAATAATTACAAAACAACAACAACAACCTTGGAAACGTATTAAAATCATAAATTTTTTGCTTTCAGTTGCGGTCGCCATAATTTGGCGCCCAATGCCACATGTAGCATTCGCAGTGATTCCCGCCAACCCTATCCCGGTTGTTGTCCCACTTTGGCATGCGAAAATGAAAGCAATTTTATTTAGAGAGAGTGTTTAGGCATTTTGTAAAAAAATAATGAATGAATTATTTAAAATGGGGCCACACATTCTCATATCCACACCTTCCCCCCCCACTTAACCAAAGATTGTGAAAAAAAATGGAAAAAAATATGTTTATGACAAATTGTTGAAAGAAAATGGAAATCTGTTGTTATTAAAAAAAAAATCCATAAATCGATGGTGTTTGTTTTTACAAAAAAAAAAAAAAAATCTTAAAAAAATAAAAAGCTGTAAGTTCGGCCGGATTGAACTTTGAATACCCTCCACCAATTGGAACAAATATGACAATTTTCAAAAAAAAAATCTTCTTTAGACTACAGTATCCATTACGAACTTCAAATACCAAATTTGAAAAAATTCCGGTGGATAATGCCGCTGAAATCATTAAAATACCGAATATCGGGAGGTAACCTTATAGGGGGGCTATACGAAGACTTGGACCTGCACAGACAATTTTCTGTCATAGGATGTAGCATCCATTACGAACATCAAATACCAAATTTGAAACAATTCCGGTGAATATCGCCTCTAAAATCATGAAAATATGGAATATCGGGAGGTACCCTTATATGGGGGCTATACGAATACGTGAACATACAGGGACAATTTTATGCCGAAGGCTGTAGCATCCATTATGAACTTCAAATACCAAATTTGAAACAATTCCGGTGGATAATGTCGCTAAAATAATCAAAATAACGAATATCAGGAGGTACCCTTACATGGGGGCTATACGAAGACGTGGACCTGCAGAGAACATTTTCTGTCTTAGGCTGTATTATTCATTTCAAACTTCAAATACCAAATTTGAAACAATTCCGGTGGATAATGTCGCTAAAATCATCAAAATACCGAATATCGGAAGGTACCCTTATATGGGGGCTATACGAAGACGTGAACATACAGGGACAATTTTATGCCGAAAGCTGTAGCATCCATTACGAACTTCAAATATCAAATTTGAAACCATTCCGGTGGATAATGTCGCTAAAATCATCAAAATACCGAATATCGGGAGGTACCGTTACATGCAGACTATACCAAAACGTGGACCTACATCATCTTTACAACAGATCTTGTGTTAGCAAAAATATTTGGATGTGTGAAATTTGAAGAGAACCGGATGGTTATTTCGCTTTCTTTGAGGGTTCTTCTTTTTTAAAACTTTGATCCTTTGTGTGGGAGGTACCAGAAGGAGTGATCCGATCTCTACCATCTTTAGAACAGATCTTGTGTTGGTGGAAATATTGAGCTGTGCCAAGTCTGAATAGAAGTGGATGTTAATTTCACGTTTTATGAGCTCCATGAATTTTCAAAACTTTGACCCCTTGTGGGGGAGGTACCAGAAAGAGTGGAGCGATATATTCCATGTTCACAGCAGATCTTGTTTTAGTAGAAATAATGCGATGTGTGAAATTTGAAGAGAACCGGATGCTTATTTCGTATTTTATTATCGTTTTTTGTTATTCAAAACATTGACTCTTTGTGGGAGAGGTACCAGAAGGAATGATCCGATCTCTACCATCTTTATAACAGATCTTGTGTTGATGGAAATATTGAAATGTACCACGTCTGAATGGAATCGGATGTTAATTTCTCGTTTTATGAGTTTCATGAATATTCGAAAATTTTCCCCTTTGTGGGGGAGGTATCAAAAGGAGTGGACCGATATCTTCCATATTCACACCACACCTTGCGTTACTGAAAATATTGTGATGTGTCTAATTTAAAGATAATCGGACTCTTACATCGCATTTTAGAAGAGTTTTAAATATTCAAAATTGTAATTTTTTTTTTTTTTTTGGGGGGGGGGGTTAACCGATATTGTCCATTTACGCACCTGCTGTAGCACTGATGCAAATATTAGGATTTGCAAAGTTGCAGTAAAATCGGAATATCCTTTCTCTTTATGTGCAGTAAATTATTTTCTTTGAAAATTTTGACATTTTGTGGGGGAGGTACCAGAAAGAGTGGACCGATGTTATCCATCTCCGAACTCAATGTAAGTTTGACAATAATATTACGATGTACCAAGTTTAGATCAAATCGAATAATCCCTTCGAGAGTTATCATGCGCAGCAGACAGCCAGACAGACAGACAGACGGACGAACGTTCATCGCTACATCGACTCCAAATATTCTGAAACGGATTTGGTACAACAAGGCCTAGGGTCTAAAACCGTTATTTCGCTGAGGAACGTTTTGGCCGTATCAATTGATATATTCCCTTTTTAGCCATATTACTGAGGGTATAAAAATATTTTTATCTGACTTAAGGAAAGGGAAATTGCTTTACCACCCCGCTCCCCCCCCCCTGGGGAAATTACTCTACCTTTCTTGTTGTACCATGGCAAGAGCTATTTCATGTGACATGGTATTACATCAAAGTAGGCGATGCCAGTTTCAACGGCGTTACTTTTGCCGCCACCAACATCCACACAATGGAAAGCCTTTATGATGGCGTGAGGCATATCGTCCTTATGAATTATGAATAATGCTTACATATTTCAATGGCTAAACCTAAAGAGCCAGCAACATTTTTATACCCTCCACCCTTCTATGGTGGGTATATTAGCAAGCTTTGTCATTCCGTTTGTAACTCCTCGAAATATTCATGATAGATCCTAAAATGTATATATATTCTGGATCAGCGTATAATTGTAAGACGATTTAGCGATGTCCGTCTGTCTGTTTAAAACACGCTATCTTTCGATCGAACTGAGATAGAAGGCTAACATTTTGCACAAATGTGTATTTTCCCCATAGGCATGTTAGGTTTGTAAATGGGCCATGTCGGTCCGCTAATTCGTATAGCCACCATATAACGGTATCTTCCGATATTCGGTATTTAGAGGGTTTTAAGCGACATTAGTCACCGGAATTTTTTACTTGTTATAATTTCCCAGGAAATTTGAAACTACAAATTATTTTTTTTTTATTTTATTTTTTTAATTGCATTGAGGCTTTATCAATTAATTAACAATTTTAATTTGTGGTAAATAAGCCAAGAGGTATCTCTGCTCGTTCAAGTGGGCCTACCTGATAGTTGACAAGTTTTCAGAGGCTATTGACTTTGGAAATAAACAAAACAATGTATTGTTTACAACGAAAAAAAGAAAAAATCGGAAATAAATTCAGTTTTCAAAAATGTGTCAGCAATTCCTACCGGCAATTCTACTCATCTTCAACACCTGTTATTGACATGCAAAAAAATAACCGGTTCGTCTCGCAAATGAAGAGCAATGTTGGGGTTGGTTCTCCTTGGAAACCGTAGCTAGAGTGTTACGTAAGACTTAAGTGAGTATTTTAGCAAAATGACCTAGTGACCTTGAAGAAGTAATTTACTGTTAGCCCATCTCACCTTGCTTGGGCTCGAGAGATTATTGTTGATTTCAGATAAAAAAAAACTCTGTTGCTTTTCGTTCCATTTAAATATATATTTTTGTAGTTCTTTGAAAATATTTACATAACCTCCAAAACAACCAGCCACACAATGGATGAACGAGGACAAACATGCTTCAGATAACTGTGCTGTAGTTTAATTCTTCACTTTTGGACGTATCAACATTTCGGCATATTTCAATGAATACTCATGGGTTTTCCATGTTTTCCAGACAATACCCTTGTTATTTGCTTCCTTCTTTTGCTTATATGGACCTGTTAGATGACTAAAAAATCAGTAAGATTAATATAATAATTAATAAGCATGGTAAACGAAAAAAAGTTCGGCCAGACAGAAATTACACATAACATTTCCACACCTGTGATAACATCTATCAAACCACCAGGCGCCTTTAAACCACTGGGCACAACTGCCATTGTCATTATCATTGTCCTTGTCCTTGGCACTGAATTGTTTTCCTTTATGATATGCCATGGCATCTCCAGCATCCCCACTATAATCACCCAGTATTGTAATTTTATAGTTTTGACCTTCATCGGCAATTTGAAAGCCATCATAGAGAGCGTAACGCTCTTCGCCTTCCCAATCTCTTAAAATTATTTTAAGTTCTATGTTCTCAGTGGCTGTGGTCAATTGATGCAATTTTTCTAGACCAATGAAAAATTCGCCATCGGGAGGATTTCCAAATCCCGTTTTGTATTCAGTCCAATTACGATAAAAATCAACAGAGCCATCCATACGCCTGAGAATTGTTGTCCAATTTAGCTGAGAATTCGATGTGGAATTTGACAAGGGAGATGACCTGTAATGTACATCAAGTTTTAAAAAAGAGGGAACATATTACGAAAATAAAAATAGAATGCAGTAGACAGTTGAAAAAATGGATAAAAATATTTGTTTAATTTCGACGAAACCGACGCCTATTGACCAAATACATCAGAAATGAGGAGAAATGTTAAGAAAGACCATAAATACTCAGGCTTCCATTCGTCTACATAAAATTGAGGTCTTGAGTTAAAAAAACTTGAGCTGCAAGTACATTAAGACTTCTTCGTAAAAAAACAAAGACTCGTAGGGTAAACAAGTACAAATTATGAGTCGAAATCGAACTAAGTCAACCTAAAACTCCTTTGTTCTTTTAGAAGAAGAAAAAGCCAGCCGATGACTTAAGCCAGTCAAAGAAGCTGTTTACGGAGTGAATTAAAAAAACTGCAACTACCAAATTTAGACTGCTCTCATTTCTAAGCCACTCGTCCGACAGCTGTTAAAATTATTCCAGTGACAGTTCATTATATTGTTTACAAGCGTACAAAAGCATTTTGGTGAGCATTTTCCAGAACAGAATTTATTCGTGATGGAATCCAAGCGTGATAAGGTGATTTCTTTTTATTTGGCTGGAAAACACAAGTGGCTATCGTTAGAGCCCTCCAGCATTTAAATGTGAATAAAATAATTTTGTGCGCTCGTTACCGCGATACTGGTAGCTTAGCCCGACATCAAGGAAGTGGACGGAAGAAAAGAGCAACATCAGCAGACATGGTTCGAAAAGAAGAAGAAAATTGAAACCCGCGTCGCAGTGGCCGAAAAATGGCTCTTGAGCTGATCACATCGAAATATTCCATTCGGCAAATATTGAAAAATGAGCTCGGGGTAAAGCCATTGAAATTCCAAAAAGTGCAAGAACTTACACCGCAACAGAAACAGAAAGAAAATAGACTCAAAAGAGCTAAACAGTTGCTTCGCTTGGCCGAAAATGGTGAACTGCCAATGAGAAAACATTCGTTGTCGACAGCAGTTTGTAAACAAACAAAATGATCGTGTTTACCTGCCAAAGAGGTCAGCTGAAAATGTGCACCTTCGGTTGGCCGGCCACCAGAACTCAAGCGCCGGCCATGGTGAGTGAGGTTGAGGGCCGCCATAACATCAGATGGTCGCTCTCCGCTCGTATTAATCGATCGTGGCATCAGAACAAATGCCGAATATTATAGCGAAAATATGCTGGCGGGTGTATTAAAGCCTTGGGCACGCAAAGATTTTGGCCGCAGACCTTGTACATTTCAACAGGACTCGGCACCATTGAACTCAGCAGCGCACCACCCAAAAATGGTTACAAAATGAGGTTCCTCGCTTCATTTCCAGCGCACAATGGCCACCAAAAAACCTCCGGATACCAAACCGTTGGACTCCGTTGTGTCTGGAGTATATTGGAAAGCAAGATTGGCACTAAAAAATACCAAAGTGTCGATCATCTCATGCAAGTGCTTCACCGGGAATGGGCCAAATACCGCAGAACAACATTCGGGCAGCGGGCGACGATTTCATTGGCCGTTTGAAGGCCATAATTCGTGCCAAAGGTGACCAAATCCAACAAATCTACACTTATTCTAAAATTTGATGCTATTTGAGACATTTTTTGCTTTCATTCAATAAAATTAAAAAAAAAATGTTAAAATTATGGCGTTTGACTTTGTTGCAGTCTTGTTTTTTATCTCACCCTGCATGTGCTTGCCCCTTATGGTCCAAAGTTGTGAATAAATTATGTAGAGAAGTAGAATTTGTAGAATTAAGCTCTAGAATTGGGAATAGTGTTCAATTTAATTTATTAACAGAAATGGTAACAAACTTGATATCCTCCTTTTTTTGCCTCTGCCATTATGGCCAAATGAACGAGTATAGGTTGGAACATTTATTCAATGACATAGAGAAAACATTTTTGTACATACCCATTACTGGCTTCCACGGTCCACTTGCTGAGATTATTATGCATCCCTTGGTAATGATTCATTATTTGTTTTATTTCAATCCCTTGTTGCTGTTGGCTGAAAAAAGAAAAACCACAAAATATTAATTTGGGGCATTTCTTCGGTCACAACAAATGCCTTGGGAGAGGTTTTATTGTTCAGTGATATGGCCATGATATTCCCCCTTTGGAATTGACAAGGGAAATCAATACACCTACATTTTTGTTAAGTCGTCAATTCTGAAATAAAAAGTGATATTTGAAGTCTAGCTACTCTCTTCTTCTTCTCGCTTCATTTTATCTCAAATACCCACTTTTGGTTCACATCGGCATTATGGGTTTTCATATCAGCAATTTGGGTTTTTATATCTGCAATATGGGTCCTCATATCAGCAATATTGCTGTTCAACTTTTGCGTTTCCACCAACAGGGTATTCACTTTTAGAAATAAGTTCTTCCACAAAATCAAACGATGCTCATCTTCATGGGGATTCTAAAAATGTTTCAAAAGACCTAACAATACCCCTCAAATGTTATTATTGCCTTCAACTCACATAGTACTCCTCTTGGGGAGGGGTGCTGCTGGAATTGGTGTCTGCGCCATAAACTGTATTATCGCAGATTAATATTTTCAAAATAAAAGCAATTACAAGAATTGATTTCATTTTGTTTCCGAATATCTGCCACAATGAAGATTCTGAAACAAACTGACGTATGATGAGACCAAAAAATGTTTTCCCAACCATTGTCTTCTTATCAAAAAATATGACCCCGGCAAGTGGCTGACATGCGAACTTATCTCTTCATACGAGGAGGGAACTGAGTTAATTCTTATACGCTCTAGGAACCTAAAATTCTTGCTCTTATGTCACGTGCAGAATTTTGTTGAATTTGAGTTTTATTTGACAGGTGGGAAGAGTGTTCTTTGTGCGCTCTCACAAAACCCCCAATTCGCCAAGGACAAATTTACGGGGGAATAACAACCACAAAATATACATGAGTGTGTGTGTGTGTGTGTGTGTAAATTTTGGAAGTCTAACTTTAAATGCAAATTTATCAAACATTTCCTCTACGGTCGGCCCACGTTTTGGTATATCCCCCCATATAATGGTACCCCTCCCTATATTCAGTATTTTTATAATTTTAGCGGCCTTATTCACCGTAACTGTTTCAAATTTGGTATTTGAAGTTAGTAATGGATACTACATCCTATGACAGAAAATTGTCCCTGTATGTTCACGCCGTCGTATAGCCCCCATATAACGATACCTTCCGATATTCGGTATTTTGATGATTTTAGCGATATTATTCAACGGAATTGTTTCAAATTTCGTATTCGGAGATCTTCATGGGTACTTCAAGCTGTGACAAAAAATTACTTATTCAGGTCCTCGACTTCGTACAGTCCCTGTTATATGGCTATACCGATATTCGGCATTTTAATGATTTTAGCGACGTTATTCACCGGAATTGCTTCAAATTTGGTATTTGAAATTCGCAACGGATACTGCAGCCTAAGGCAGAAAATTGTCTCTGCAGGTCGACGCCGTCGTATAGCCCCCATATAACTGCACCTCCCGATATTCGGTATTTTGAAAATTTTAGCGGTATTATCCAACGGAATTGTTTCAAATTTGGTATTTGAAGTTCGTAATGGATACTACATCCTATGACAGAAAATTGTCTGTGCAGGTGCAAGTCTTCGTATAGCCACAACATAACTGCACCTCCCTATTTTCGGTATTTTGAAAATTTTAGCGACATTATTCACCGGAATTGTTTCAAATTTGGTATTTGAAGTTAGTAATGGATACTACATCCTATGACAGAAAATTGTCCCTGTATGTTCACGCCGTCGTATAGCCCCCATATAACGATACCTTCCGATATTCGGTATTTTGATGATTTTAGCGATATTATTCAACGGAATTGTTTCAAATTTGGTATTTGAAGTTCGTAATGCATACCACAGCCTAAGACAGAAAATTGTCTCTGAAGGTCGACGCCGTCGTATAGCCCCCATATAACTTCAGCTCCCGATATTCGGTATTTTGATGATTTAAGCCAAATTATTCACCGAAAATGTTTCAAATTTGATATTTGAAGTTCGTAATGGATACTACAGCCTTGGGCAAAAAATTGTCCCTGCATGTTCACGTCTTTGTATAACCCCCATATAACTGCACCTGCATTTTGAAAATTTTAGCGACATTATTCACCGGAATTGTTTCAAATTTGGTATTTGAAGTTAGTAATGGATACTACATCCTATGACAGAAAATTGTCCCTGTATGTTCACGCCGTCGTATAGCCCCCATATAACGATACCTTCCGATATTCGGTATTTTGATGATTTTAGCGATATTATTCAACGGAATTGTTTCAAATTTGGTATTTGAAGTTCGTAATGCATACCACAGCCTAAGACAGAAAATTGTCTCTGAAGGTCGACGCCGTCGTATAGCCCCCATATAACTTCAGCTCCCGATATTCGGTATTTTGATGATTTAAGCCAAATTATTCACCGAAAATGTTTCAAATTTGATATTTGAAGTTCGTAATGGATACTACATCCTATGACAGAAAATTGTCTGTGCAGGTCCAAGTCTTCGTATAGCCACCATATAACTGCACCTCCCGATATTCGGCATTTTTATGATTTTAGCAACATTATTTACCAGAATTGTTTCAAATTTGGTATTTGAAGCTCGTTATGGATACTACAGCCTATGACAGAAAATTGTCTCTGCAGGTCTACGTCTTCGTATGGCCCCCATATAACGATACCTCCCGATATTCGGTATTTTGAAAATTTTAGCGACATTATTTACCGGAATTGTTTCAAATTTGGTATTTGAAGTTAGTAATGGATACTACATCCTATGACAGAAAATTGTCCCTGTATGTTCACGCCGTCGTATAGCCACCATATAACGAAACCTTCCGATATTCGGTATTTTGATGATTTTAGCGACATTATTCACCGGAATTGTTTCAAATTTGGTATTTGAAGTTAGTAATGGATACTACATCTTATGACAGGAAATTGTCTGTGCAGGTCCAAGTCTTCGTATAGCCCCCATATAACTGCACCTCCCGATTTTCGGTATTTTGATGATTTTAGCGATATTATTCACCGGAATTGTTTCAAATTTGGTATTTGAAGTTCGTAATGGATACTACATCCTATGACAGAAAATTGTCCCGGTACGTTCACGCCGTCGTATTGCCCCCATATAACTGCACCTCCCGATTTTTGGTATTTTGATGATTTTAGCGACATTATTCACCGGAATTATTTCAAATTTGGTGTTTGAAGTTCGTAATGGATACTACAGCCTTGGGCAAAAAATTGTCTCTGCAGGTTCACGTCTTCGTATAACGGCAACATTCGGTATTTTTAAGATTTTAATAGAATTTTTAACGGATTTGTTTTATTTATTTATTTTTTATTTATTTATTTTTTTTATTTATTATTTTTTTTTTTTTTTGAAAATTTCCAAATTTGTTTCAAATGTTGGAGGGTATTAAAAGTTCGGCCTGGCCGAACTTACAGCTTTTTTACTTGTTAGTACTAATTTCCCCCCACAAGCCCAGTGTGCCGAATGTTTGTCTTTACGCCAATGATCTAATGAGCTCAAGTTCGGCTTAATCTTTAGTTGTCATCTCTAGTACATTTCGTTTTTTTTTTTTTTGCAGTTTTTGTTTCTGCTATTCTTTGCTAAATATTTTTATTATTGTTTGTCTTAATTAATAATAAACAAGCTGACAGGCTGGATGACTGCAAAACCTATTACAGCATCTAGCCCCTTTCTCTCGCGCTCTCTCTCTCTTTCATCTCTCTCGTTGGAAGTATAAAAACGAATTACTCAACTGCCACTTTGTTAGTTTATGACAGGCTGGCTGTTTGAAGAAATTAATTATTTAAAACAATGAAATTAGTTTACGCCTTTACACTTTGCATTGCTGCTATTGTTTTTGTGCATCAATTGCCAGGTAGGTGGAAAGAAAATTAGTTTCTATTTTTTTGCGATTATATAAATGAAATTTTCGAAATTTTCATACACAAGGAACCTCTGCTGTCACGGAACCTGTGTGTGCCTATAGAAATTCTCAAGATGATACGGTCTTCTTGAAATATCTACCCTATGCCAAGCGTGGTGAAGAATATGTGGATTTTGGCACTGATGGCAAGTGTTTGAAGAAGGCAACCTGCAGCGATACCTTCAAAACCGTGGTTGATGAGTAAGTTTTCTTTTGTTTTTTTGACTTTAAAAAATGTTTCATAACCTACATCACAATAGGTTAAGGGCATTTGGTCTTGGTGCATTTGTTTGTAACGATATTGAGCCATAATTACTTTTGACGATCTTCATAGAATCACTTTCTGAGGCGATTTAGGCAGTCAGTCCGTCCGTCTGGCCATGTATTGTTGTGAACAAAATGCAGAGAGGAAATTTTCCAAACAATATTTGAAATTGGTGAGAATCGGTTAAAATTTGGGTATAGCTCCCATATATATATTCAACCGATTTCGGGTAAATTGTGCACCAACTGGCCAATATCAGGTCAAATGACCCGAATTTTGGTACATCCTGCCGAATTCAGTCTGGAAGCAAGTACATCAAATTTGGTGAAAATCGGTTCAGATATAGCTATAGCTCCCATATATATAATTCATCCGATTTGGGGTTCTAAATGCCTCACAAGCGTAATATGTACTCCACAACAATGATATTTGGTCGCAGATATCAAATACAACCCAGAAACACACTTGCCAAATTGTATCAAAATCGCTTCAGGTTTGGATGTATCTGCCATATATATCCTCAGCCGATTTCGGGTGAATTGTCCACCAACTGACCAATATCAGTCCAAATGATCTGAATTTTGGTACATCCTGCCGAATTCAGTCTGGAAGCAAGTACATTAAATTTGGTGAAAATCGGTTCAGATATAGCTATAGCTCCCATATATATAATTCATCCGATTTGGGGGGTTTATGTCCCTCACAAGCGTAATATGTACTCCACAACAATGATATTTGGTACCAGATATCAAATACAACCCAGAAATACCCTTGCTAAATTTTATCAAAATCGGTTCAGATTTGAGTATAGCTCCCTTATATATCATCAACCGATTTCGGCTTAATTGTCCACCAAATGGCCAATATCAAGCCAAATGACCTGAATTTTGGTACATCCTGCCGAATTTGGTCCAGAAGCAAATACAGTACATTTGGTGAAAATCGGTTCAGATATAGCTATAGCTCCCATATATATGCTTCATCCGATTTGGAGTTTTAGGACTCTCACAGGCGTAATATGCATTCGACAACAATGATATTTGGTACCAGATATCAGATACAGCTCGGAAATAAGTCTATCAAATTTTATCAAAATCGGTTCAGATTTGGATATAGCTCCCATATATATATCTTCAACCGATTTCGGGTTAATGGTCAACCAAATGGCCAATATAAGGTCAAATGACCTGAATTTTGGTAAATCACATCTAATTAATTCTAGAAACAAGTACATCAAATTTGGTGAAAATCGGTTCAGATATAGCTATAGTTCCCATATATATGTTTTATCCGATTTGGGGTTTGAGGACCCTCACAAGCGTAATATGCACTTCACAAGAATGATATTTGGTCCCAGATATCTTATAGAGCTCGGAAATACCTCTGCTAAATTTTATCAAGATCGGTTCAGATGTGGATATAGCTTCCATAGATATCCTTATTTCAGAATTATATCCGATTTCATCCGATTTATTGTTCAAATAATAATAGGTTGATAGATGGTGTGATTTACTTCAAATAAATTATTTTGTTACGGGAGCCCTACTAAATATACATAGTGGTGTAGGGTATCATATAGTCGGCCCCGTCCGACTTTTGACTTTTCCTTACTGGTTAACTTAAAAATATGTTTTTTTTTTTTTTTTGTTTCAGATGCAAACAATTCCCCGTTACCTGTGCCAATAAAAAACGTTACGATGGTGTATTTCCTGCTTGTTGTGTTAAGTGCTAAAATGTCTTGATGACGGATTTTTGTAACATATATAATATATATACTATATAAATATATATAAATACACTTTTTTAAGAATAAAAATTAAAATCAAATTCGTGCTCTGTTTAGGTCCTTGGACGTATTTTCATTTCAACAAATTTCATCGAATAATTAAAACCCTTCCATGTGGACCATAGTATTTTCGGCATCTCAAAGCATTCACCCTGTGTCCTGTACACCGAATTCAAATTGCTAAAACGAGAGAGAGAGAGGGAGAGTTACTCTCAGAGAATTCTCAGAGACTCAATCATTTGCCATGACATCCCTTTCCCACTCACCTATCCACACATTGATTAAACCACCAGCCGCCACCATAGTTGCGTGGACACATACCCGAATTGGAATGATCCAGTGTGGAGAATTTCATGCCCTTGTGATAGGCCAAGGCATCACCGGCTGTCCCAGAATACTCGCCCAATTCCTTGAGGGCATATTCCTCCGATTCACTGCCAATCTGAAAGTGATCATAGCGGGCATAACGCTCCTCATACTCCCAGTCACGCAGCGTGACCAGCAATTCATGCGCTCCCTCATAGGTGGTTATGGTGTGCAGTCTTTCCAGGCCCAAAAAGAATTCACCCTCGGGATTGCCAAAACCATTGCGATAGTCATCCCAATTACGTTGGAAATTTTCGGAGCCATCTTGACGACGTAAAACTACTGTCCATTCATGCCGGGGCGGCGATGCTGTGACCGAGGATGAGGCAGCGGATTCTCGTGCTGGCTGTGCGGTTACTCGTTTTTCCACCACTTGTGCCGCTGGACATTTTCTCTCCCTTTTGATGTGCTTGAATATATTGGATATTTCGTGGCCCTGGTGAGATTGCCTGGAACAGAGGATTCGAATTATGTTGATTTTTTTTTTTAAATTTCCAAATACTTTTCTCTCATCTCCTGCATGAGTTGACTAAGAGAGTTCGTTTCATCCAGAAGTCTATTGAGTTTTGAATAGAGTACCCTCCACAGTTCGGCATCATTGTCTTCAGGTATGGGGTCCTAAGATAGAGGGAGAAAGCGAAAAAAAATTAAATATGTAAAAAAGCTATAAGTTCGGCCGGGCCGAACTTTGAATAACCTGCACCATTTGGAACAAATTTTCAAAAAAATAAAATCCATTGAAAATTCTGTAAAAATCTTAGAGATACCGAATGTAGCTGTTATATTAAGGTCTATACGACGACATGGACCTGCATAGGTAACATTTGTCATAATCCATTATAATATTCAAATGCGAGACTTGAGAAAAAAAATAAGAAAATAATGTCGCTAAAATCATCAAAATGCCGAATATCGGGAGATGCCGTTATATGGGGGCTATACGATAACGTGGACCGGCACAGACAATTTTCTGCCATAGGCTGTAGCATCCATTACGAACTTCAAATACCAAATTTGAAATAAATCCGTTGAATAATGTAGCTAAAATCATCAAAGTTCTGAATATCGGGAGTTACCATTATATGGAGGCTATACGAAGACGTGGACTTGCACAGATAATTTTCTGTCTCAGTCTGTAGTATCCGTTACGAACTTCAAATACCAAATTTGAAACAATTCCGTTGAATAATGTCACTAAAATCATGAAAATACCGAATATCGGGAGGTACCCTTATATGGGGGCTATACGAAGACGTGGACCGGCACAGACAATTTTCTGTCTTAGGCTGCAGTATCCGTTACGGACTTCAAATACCAAATTTGAAAAAATTCCGTTAAATAATGTCGCTAAAATCATCAAAATACCGAATATCGGGAGGTACCGTTATATGGGGGCTATACTCAAAAGGTGGACCTACATATTCTATTTTCAATGCCAAAAGTCCTGCAGACATAACATACATTTAAGTAAATTTTTATCAATCTACTTCAATTCGTTCGGAAGCTAGAGTGATTTCCATAGACGGACGGATATCGCTAAATCGACATAGAATTTTATGCTGATCAAGAATAAACGGAATGACAAACTTAATATACCCTCCAAACTATGGAGGAGAATAAAAATTCGGTGAAAATTTGGGTGGCGCGTGCTGAGTCAACTTTGCAAATCGTAATAGTTTCATCAGTGCTAGGTCAGATGTGGAAGTCAACAAAATCGGTTCACTCCTTGTGGTACCTCCCCCACAAAGTGTCAATATTTGGAGTATCCATGAGGCTCATAAATCACCAAAATTAACAACCGATTCCATTCCAGACTTGGCACATCTCAATATTTTCATCAACACAATATCTGTTAAAATATGGTAGAGATCAGACCATCTCTTCTGGTACCTGCCCCACAAAGGGCCAAAGTTTCGAATAAACAAAACGATCATAAAACCCGAAATAAGCATCCAGTTCTCTTCAAATTACACACATCCCAATATTTTTATTAACCCAACAACTGGTGTGAAGATGGAATATATCGGTCCACTCCTTGTGGTACCTTCCACACAAAGGGTCAAAATTTTGAATAACCACGAAGCTCATAAAACGTCCAATTAACACCCGATTCCATTCAGACTTGGCACATCTCAATATTTCCATCAACACAATATCTGTTTTAAAGATGGTAAAGATCAGACAATTTCTTCTGGTACCTCCCCAACAAAGGGTCAAAATTTTCGAATAATCAAAACGATCATAATATCCGAAATAAGCATCCAGTTCTCTTAAAATTACACACATCACAATATTTTTATTAAACCAAGGTCTGGTGTGAAGATGGAATATATCGGTCTATTCCTTGTGGGACCTCCCCCACAAAGGGTGAAAATTTTGAATAATTGTAACTTTTATAAAATTGGATGTAGGTGTCCGATTGTCTTCAAATTACACACATAACTGTATTTTTATTAACCCAAAACCTCCCCCACAAAGTGTCAAAGTTTGGAGTATCCATGGGGCTCATAAATCACCAGAATTAACAACCGATTCCATTCAGACGTGGTACATCTCAATATTTCCATCAACACAATATCTGTTTTAAAGATGGTAGAGATCAGACAGTTTCTTCTGGTACCTGCCCCTCAAGGCTGGGGGTATACATCTGTCGGTAAAACCGACTGATACTATTTTACTTCTCCTTTTTGGCCCTTAGATGTGATGATTTATTTCGTTTTGTTTTTTTTTCGACTCACCTGAGCCTTGGCATAATGCAGTCCAACAACCAGAATCAAGAATATCCACCGGAATCTCATTATGTCTTCTAATCTTGTTGTACAGTTTACGTTCGAAATCTTACTAAACCTCTTCAAAGTATATTAGGGTACTTATATGCAGTTTTTTTTTTTGGATTATTAACATAAAAGATTTAAACAAACAAGGCGTTGAAGATAAAGTATTCATTTGGAGTTCGCAACGACCAAGGGGATGACTATACTGAGAAAAAAAAAAAAAACAAAAATGGGAGCAGTCTCTATATTTTGAAATATTTAGAGGCACTCCTTAGAAGCAAAAGGTTTAAAATCTTTTAAAACGATAGCCCTTTACGTCACTACCTCATATATCTTCCCCCAAAAAAAAGAAAATATCCACATCCCTGCATGAGAAGCCTTCATAAGTCGACCCATTATCCTAAATTCTTATCTATAAGATAAACATATTACTATATATCTTATCTCCACACATATTGCATAGAGATTTATCTTCTGTTTTCGGTTTTGTTTTTTTTTTGGCGAGAAAATATTTATGTTTGTGAAATAACAATTTTGAATTTTGCAATGTTTGGCAATGGATTCAAATTGTTTGTTTAGCACATATTTTCGTGGCAAAACATACACAATGGGGTTTAGATAAAATTTCATTAACGATATATCCACTAAAGGTAAAGGAGGAACGGTGATGCCGGGAAAACGAAACGACAAATAAAAAACATAGACAATTTTCTATCATAGGCTGTAGTATCCATTACGAACTTCAAATACCAAATTTTGAAACAATTCCGTTGAATAATGTCGCTAAAATCATCAAAATACCGAATATCGGGAGGTGCCGTTATATGGGGGCTATACGAAGGCGTGGGTCTGCACGGACAATTTTCTGTCTTAGGCTGTAGTGTCCATTACGAACTTCAAATACCAAATTTGAAACAATTCGGGAGAATAATAATCGCTAAAATTATCAAAATATTGAATATCGGGAGATACCATTATATGGGAGCTATACGAAGACGTAGACCTGTACAGACAATTTTTTGTCATTGGTTGTAGTATCCATTACGAACTTCAAATACCAAATTTCAAACAATTCCGTTGAATAATAATCTCTAAAATTATCAAAATACCGAATATCGGGAGGTACCGATATATGGGGGCTATACGAAGAGGTGGATCTGCATAGACAATTTTCTGTCATAGGCTGTAGTGTCTATTACGAACTTCAAATACCAAATATGAAACAATTCCGGTGAATAATGTCGCTAAAATCATCAAAATACCGAATATCGGAAGGTGCCGTTATATGGGAGCTATACGAAGACAAGGACCTGCACAGACAATTTTTTGTCTTAGGCTGTAGTGTCTATTACGAACTTCAAATACCACGATTTGAAACAATTCCGGTGAATAATAATCGCTAAAATCATCAAAATACCGAATATAGGGAGGTACCTTTATATGGGAGCTATACGAAGACAAGGACCTGCACAGACAAATTTCTGTCTTAGGCTGTAGTGTCTATTACGAACTTCAAATAGCAAATTTGAAATAAATTCAGTGATTGATGTCGCTAAAATCATCAAAATACCGAATTTCGGGAGGTGCCATTATATGGGGGCTATACGAAGACGTGGACCTGCAGAGACAATTTTCTGTCATAGGCTGTAGTATCCATTACCAACTTCAAATACCAAAATTTGAAACAATTCCGATGAATAATAATCACTAAAATCATCAAAATACCGAATATCGTGAGGTACCATTGTGTGGGGGCTATACGAAGAAAAGGACCTGAACAGACAATTTTCTGTCTTAGGCTGTATTACCCATTACAAACTTCAAATGCCAAATTTGAAACAATTCCGGTTAATAATAATCGCTAAAATCATCAAAAAGCCGAATATCGATAGGTACCATTATATGGGGGCTATACGAAGACAAGGACCTGCACAGACAATTTTTTGTCTTAGGTTGTAGTATTCATTACGAACTTCAAATACCAAATTTGAAACAATTCCGTTGAATAATGTCGCTAAAATCATCAAAATACCGAATATCGGGAGGTACCATTGTGTGGGGGCTATACGAAGACGTGGACCTGCACAGACAATTTTTTGTCTTAGGCTGTATTACCCATTACAAACTTCAAATACCAAATTTCAAACAATTCCGGTGAATATTGTCGCTAAAATCATCAAAATACCGAAAATAGGGAGGTACCATTATAAGGGGGCTATACGAAGACAAGGACCTGCACAGACAATTTTTTGTCTTAGACTGTAGTATCCATTACGAACTTCAAATACCAAATTTGAAACAATTCCGTTGAATAATGTCGCTAAAATCATCAAAATACCGAATATCGGGAGGTGCCGTTATATGGGGGCTATACCGAAACGTGGACCTACATTGTCTATTTTAAATACCAAAAGTCCTGCAGACTTAATATACATTCGAGTAAAATTTTATTAACCTACTTCATTTCGTTCGGAAGCTGGAATGATTTCCACAAACGGACGGATATCGCCAGATCGTTGTAGAATTTTTTGCTGATCAAGAATATATGTCTAAAATGTATATTTCGAGGAGAGGTTACAAACGGAATGACAAAGCCATAGAATGTTGGAGGGTACAAAAAGAAGATTTTTAAATATCCATAGGAATCCCTGAGGGTATTTTTCCTGCAAAGCATCTACCAGTTGCATTACCTTTTTAATTCAAAGACCAGCATTTACATCTACAGAACACTTTGTACCCTACACCACAAGGTGTGGTGGTCAGGGTATTATGTCTTTGTGAAATTGTTTGTAACAGGCAAAAGGAAACGAGATAGACCCATAGTTCCTTTTGATGATCTGCATAGAATCACATTCTGAGTCGATTTATGCATGTCCGTCCGTCTGTCTGTCTGTCTGTCCGTCTGTCCATGTATTTTTGTAAACAAAGTACAGTTCGCACTTATTGCCCTATCCAGATGAAATTTTGCACAAATCATTTGTTTGGCCCAAGGACGAACCCTATTAAAATTGGAGATAATTCGTCAAAATTTAGATATAGCTCCCATATATAACTTCGTCCGATTTACTTTTTATTGTGCACCAAACGTCTAATAATTGTCCAAATGGGATGAAATTTGGCACTTACGACCGAATTGAGTCTAGAAGCTAGTATGTCAAATTTGGTGAAAATCGGTTCAGATATAGCTATAGCTCCCACATATACTGTTCATCCGATTTGTTACCTACAGCCGTAATATGCACTCCGTAACAACGATATTCAGGGAAATATATCAAATACAGCTCAGAAATACATTTGCTAAATTTTATCGAGATCGGTTCCGATTTGAATATAGCTCCCATATATAACTTCGTCCGATTTACCTTTTATTGTGCACCAAACGTCTAATAATTGTCCAAATGGGATGAAATTTGGCACTTACGACCGAATTGAGTCTAGAAGCTAGTATGTCAAAATTGGTGAAGATTGGTTCAGATATAGCTATAGCTCCCACATATACTGTTCATCCGATTTGTTATTTTTGTCATCCGCAGCCGTAATATGCACTCTGTAACAACGATATTCAGGGAAATATATCAAATACAGCTCAGAAATACATTTGCCAAATTTTATAGAGAACGGTTCCGATTTGGATATAGCTCCCATATATAACTTCGTCCGATTTACCCTTTCTTGTGCACCAAACGTCTAATATTTGCCCAAATGGGATGAAATTTGGCACTTACGACCGAATTGAGTCTAGAAGCTAGTATGTCAAATTTGGTGAAAATCGGTTCAGATATAGCTATAGCTCCCACATATACTGTTCATCCGATTTGTTACCTACAGCCGTAATATGCACTCCGTAACAACGATATTCAGGGAAATATATCAAATACAGCTCAGAAATACATTTGCTAAATTTTATCGAGATCGGTTCCGATTTGAATATAGCTCCCATATATAACTTCGTCCGATTTACCTTTTATTGTGCACCAAACGTCTAATAATTGTCCAAATGGGATGAAATTTGGCACTTACGACCGAATTGAGTCTAGAAGCTAGTATGTCAAAATTGGTGAAGATTGGTTCAGATATAGCTATAGCTCCCACATATACTGTTCATCCGATTTGTTATTTTTGTCATCCGCAGCCGTAATATGCACTCTGTAACAACGATATTCAGGGAAATATATCAAATACAGCTCAGAAATACATTTGCCAAATTTTATAGAGAACGGTTCCGATTTGGATATAGCTCCCATATATAACTTCGTCCGATTTACCCTTTCTTGTGCACCAAACGTCTAATATTTGCCCAAATGGGATGAAATTTGGCACTTACCAGCGAATTGAGTCTAGAAGCTAGTATGTCAAATTTGGTGAAGATCGGTTCAGATATAGCTATAGCTCCCACATATACTGTACATCCGATTTGTTATATTTGTTACCCACAGCCGTAATATGCACTCCGTAACAACGATATTCAGGGAAATATATCAAATACAGCTCAAAAATACATTTGCTAAATTTTATCGAGATCGAGGTTCAGATTTGAATATACCTCCCATACATAACTTCGTCCGATTTACTTTTATTGTGCACCAAACGTCTAATAATTGTCCAAATGGGATGAAATTTGGCACTTACGACCGAATTGAGTCTAGAAGCTAGTATGTCAAATTTGGTGAAGATCGGTTCAGATATAGCTATAGCTCCCACATATAGTGTTCATCCGATTTGTTATTTTTCTCCTCCGCAGCCGTAATATGCACTCTGTAACAACGATATTCAGGGAAATATATCAAATACAGCTCAGAAATACATTTGCCAAATTTTATAGAGAACGGTTCCGATTTGGATATAGCTCCCATATATAACTTCGTCCGATTTACCCTTTCTTGTGCACCAAACGTCTAATATTTGCCCAAATGGGATGAAATTTGGCACTTACCAGCGAATTGAGTCTAGAAGCTAGTATGTCAAATTTGGTGAAGATCGGTTCAGATATAGCTATAGCTCCCACATATACTGTACATCCGATTTGTTATATTTGTTACCCACAGCCGTAATATGCACTCCGTAACAACGATATTCAGGGAAATATATCAAATACAGCTCAAAAATACATTTGCTAAATTTTATCGAGATCGAGGTTCAGATTTGAATATACCTCCCATACATAACTTCGTCCGATTTACTTTTATTGTGCACCAAACGTCTAATAATTGTCCAAATGGGATGAAATTTGGCACTTACGACCGAATTGAGTCTAGAAGCTAGTATGTCAAATTTGGTGAAGATCGGTTCAGATATAGCTATAGCTCCCACATATAGTGTTCATCCGATTTGTTATTTTTCTCCTCCGCAGCCGTAATATGCACTCTGTAACAACGATATTCAGGGAAATATATCAAATACAGCTCAGAAATACATTTGCCAAATTTTATAGAGAACGGTTCCGATTTGGATATAGCTCCCATATATAACTTCGTCCGATTTACCCTTTCTTGTGCACCAAACGTCTAATATTTGCCCAAATGGGATGAAATTTGGCACTTACCAGCGAATTGAGTCTAGAAGCTAGTATGTCAAATTTGGTGAAGATCGGTTCAGATATAGCTATAGCTCCCACATATACTGTACATCCGATTTGTTATATTTGTTACCCACAGCCGTAATATGCACTCCGTAACAACGATATTCAGGGAAATATATCAAATACAGCTCAAAAATACATTTGCTAAATTTTATCGAGATCGAGGTTCAGATTTGAATATACCTCCCATACATAACTTCGTCCGATTTACTTTTATTGTGCACCAAACGTCTAATAATTGTCCAAATGGGATGAAATTTGGCACTTACGACCGAATTGAGTCTAGAAGCTAGTATGTCAAATTTGGTGAAGATCGGTTCAGATATAGCTATAGCTCCCACATATAGTGTTCATCCGATTTGTTATTTTTCTCCTCCGCAGCCGTAATATGCACTCTGTAACAACGATATTCAGGGAAATATATCAAATACAGCTCAGAAATACATTTGCCAAATTTTATAGAGAACGGTTCCGATTTGGATATAGCTCCCATATATAACTTCGTCCGATTTACCTTTTCTTGTGCACCAAACGTCTAATATTTGCCCAAATGGGATGAAATTTGGCACTTACCAGCGAATTGAGTCTAGAAGCTAGTGTGTCAAATTTGGTGAAGATCGGTTCAGATATAGCTATAGCTCCCACATATACTGTTCATCCGATTTGTTATATTTGTTACCCACAGCCGTAATATGCACTCTGTAACAACGATATTGAGGGAAGTATATGAAATACACCTCAGAAATATCTTTGCCAAATTTTATCGAGATCGGTTCAGATTTGAATATAGCTCCCATATATAACTTCGTCCGATTTACCTTTTATTGTGCACCAAACGTCTAATAATGGTCCAAATGGGATGAAATTTGGCACTTACAACCGAATTGAGTGTAAAAGCTAGTATGTCAAATTTGGTGAAAATCGGTTCAGATATGGCTATAGCTCCCACATATAATGTTCATCCGATTTATTATTTCTGTCCTCCGCAGCCGTAATATGCACGCTGTAACAACAATATTTGGGAAAATATATCAAATACAGCTCAGAAATACATTTGCTAAATTTTATCGAGATCGGTTCAGATTTGAATATAGCTCCCACATATAACTTCGTCCGATTTAACTTTTATTGTGCACCAAACGTCTAATAATTGTCCAAATGGGATGAAATATGGCACTTACGACCGAATTGCGTCTAGAAGCTAGTATGTCAAATTTGGTGAAGATCGGTTCAGATATAGCTATAGCTCCCATATATAATGTTCATCCGATTTGTTATATTTGTTACCCACAGCCGTAATGTGCACTCTGTAACAACAATATTTGGGAAAATATATCAAATACAGTTTAGAAATACATTTGCTAAATTTTATCGAGATCGGTTCAGATTTGAATATAGCTCCCATATATAACTTCGTCCGATTTACCTTTTATTGTGCACCAAACGTCTAATAATTGTCCAAATGGGATGAAATTTGGCACTTACGGCCAAATTCAGTCTAGAAGCTAGTATGTCAAATTTGGTAAAGATCGGTTCAGATATAGCTATAGCTCCCATATATAATGTTCATCCGATTTGTTATATTTGTTACCCACAGCCGTAATATGCACTCCGTGACAACGATATTCAGGGAAGTTTATGAAATACAGCTCAGAAATACATTTGCTAAATTTTATCGAGATCGGTTCAGATTTGAATATAGCTCCCATATATAACTTCGTCCGATTTACCTTTTATTGTGCACCAAACGTCTAATAATTGTCCAAATGAGATGAAATTTGGCACTTACGACCGAATTGCGTCTAGAAGCTAGTATGTCAAATTTGGTGAAGATCGGTTCAGATATAGCTATAGCTCCCATATATAATGTTCATCCGATTTGTTATATTTGTTACCCACAGCCGTAATGTGCACTCTGTAACAACAATATTTGGGAAAATATATCAAATACAGCTCAGAAATACATTTCCTAAATTTTATCGAGATCGGTTCAGATTTGAATATAGCTCCCACATATAACTTCGTCCGATTTACCTTTTATTGTGCACCAAACGTCTAATAATGGTCCAAATGGGATGAAATTTGGCATTTACGACCGAATTGAGTCTAGAAGCTAGTATGTCAAATTTGGTGAAGATCGGTTCAGATATAGCTATAGCTCCCATATATTACGTTCATCCGATTTGTAATTTTTGTCCTCCGCAGCCGTAATATGCACTCTGTAACAACAATATTTGGGAAAATTTACCAAATACAGCTCAGAAATACATTTGCTAAATTTTATCGAGATCGGTTCAGATTTGAATATTGCTCCCACATATAACTTCGTCCGATTTACCTTTTATTGTACACCAAACGTCTAATAATTGTCCAAATGGGATGAAATTTGGCACTTACGACCGAATTGAGTCTAGAAGCTAGTATGTCAAATTTGGTGAAGATCGGTTCAGATATAGCTATAGCTCCCATATATAATGTTCATCCGATTTGTTATATTTGTTATCCACAGCCGTAATATGCACTCCGTAACAACGATATTGAGGGAAATATATCAAATACAGCTCAGAAATATCTTTGCCAAATTTTATCGAGATCGGTTTCAATTTGGATATAGCTAAATTAATATTGCACCAAATGGGCAATACAAGTCCGAATTTAAAAGATACAAATGCTTCGCTGATATCATTCTCCAAATCTTTTCTAGGAAACCCCCTCCTTTCTTTTCCAACAAAATGAAAATGTTATTCTATAATTTTTCTTTGTTCATTTTTTTTTTTTGCATTTCTTTAACTCTTCTCAAAAAAAAAAAAAAAAAACTAAAAATAAATTCATATTATTTTCAAATACAGAAATACAAAGTAAATTACAAAATAATGGATGTGTATTAATTTTTAAAAGTTATAAAGTGTGTATAAAAATTTACAAACTAAGGTTGAAAGAAGAAGAGAAAAATAGTCTTAAAGATCAAGAAATCAAAAAACAGGATTAATACCAAAGAAGCAAGCTGCTAACTAAGAAAAGGAAAAATGATTGGCATTATTTTTCCCCAAGGAATTTCATTTAGTTTCTAGGTGGTACAGCTAAAGTTTGAAGGGCACACTTATTCCCTTTTCCTCCCCCTCCCTCCTGGGTATTTCCTTTTCGAAGAGTATTTATTTAAAAGTGGTTTTGTTTTGTGTGTTTTTTTATTGGATTTTAATTTATTTTTTTAAAATAGTATTTTTGTGTTTTCTTTTTATCTTCTTTTTCTTTTCTTTTATATTAAGCTTTACTTCTTTGCTGTTGTTCAGAGATAAAGAGTACTTCTTAGATGCCTACAATTCTGTGTGTGTTTTTTGTTAATTACAATTAAAAGTAATATAAATTATGCTCCATATAATATCCTTTTTCCTTCCCTTCCAAATTTTGGCCGATCTGGTGGAATGGAGTCGAACCAATTTATTTTTAACAAAAAATAATAAATGGTTGTCGAATGCAGCAGCCTTACTTCTGGGAATCGGAATATATGCAGAGCAGCAGGAAAGAGAGGGGAAACGACGACAATGAAGAGGAGGGTGAAAGTGTGTGTGTGTGGGTGTGAGAGGATGGTTGGTTGGTTTGAAGGTTTACAAGTCTTCATCCTCGTCGGGCAAAGCGGTTTCTTGGGCTTCCTGCAAATCTCTTTCGATTTGTAGTTGCCAGTCCTTGTCCATTTTGACTTCTGGAGGCAGCAAGGCTGGCATGGCCACAAACTCCAAATTGGGATCACCAACCAATTTACGGGCCAACCAAAGGAAAGGTTTCTCAAAATTGTAATTTGATTTGGCCGAGATGTCATAGTACTAATGAGGGATAAAGAGGTATAAAAATATTAACATAATTTCCAAGCATATGCTTTAGAGTTCATTACCTGTAGATTCTTCTTTCTGTGGAACACAATACTCTTGGCCTTCACCTTGCGATCCTTGATGTCGACCTTATTGCCACACAACACAATTGGTATGTTCTCGCACACACGCACCAAATCTCTGTGCCAATTTGGTACGTTCTTGTAGGTAACACGCGACGTCACATCGAACATAATAACGGCACACTGTCCCTGAATGTAATAGCCATCACGTAAACCACCGAATTTTTCCTGGCCAGCTGTATCCCAGACGTTGAATCGGATGGCACCACGATTTGTGTGGAAAATCAATGGATGCACCTCGACACCGAGTGTGGCAACGTATTTCTTCTCAAATTCACCAGTCATGTGACGTTTGACGAATGTTGTCTTGCCGGTACCACCGTCACCGACCAAAACGCATTTGAATGTTGGAATATCTTGTTCGGGTTGTGCCATTTTGGTTTTTTTCTTTCTTCTATTTAGACAATTGACTTTTCAAAAAGAGAAGAGCTGAAAATACAAGAAAGGAAAAGGAAATTGTTAAAACAGATACTAAAAAGTAAAAAAAAAAAACTATAAGTTTGGGCGGGCCGAACTTGGAATAGCCTCCACCATTTGGAACGAATTTGGCAATTTTCAAAAAAATAAAATCCGTTAAAAATTCTGTTAAAATCCAAAAAAAAAAAAATACCAAAACGTAGAACTGCACAGATAATTCTCTGTCTTAAGCTGTATCCATTACGAACTTGAAATACCAAATTTCAAACAATTCCGTCGGATAATGCCGCTAAAATCATCAAAATACCGAATATCGGTAGGTAGCCTTATAGGGGGCTATAGGAAGACGTGAACATACAGGGACAATTTTATGCCGAAAGCTACAGTATCCATTACAAACTTCAAATACCAAATTTGAAACTATTCCGGTGGATAAGGTCGCTAAAATCATCAAAATACCGAATATCGGTAGGTAGCCTTATAGGGGGGCTATAGGAAGACGTAAACATACAGGGATAATTTTATGCCGGAGTCTGCAGTATCCATTTCAAACTTCAAATACCAAATTTGAAAAAATTCCGATGAATAATGTCGCTTAAATAATCCAAACACCGAATATCGGGAGGTACCGTTATATGACGACTACACAAAGACGTAAACCTGCACAGGCAATATTCTGTCATAGGCTGTAGTATCCATTGCGAACTTCAACTACCAAATTGGTCACATTTCCGGTCAATAATGAAGCTAAAATCATCCATATACCGAATATTGGGAGGTACCATTATATGGGGTCTATACGAAGACGTGGACCTGCCCAGACAATTTTCCGTCATAGGCTATAGTATCCCTTACGAACTTCAAATGCCAAATTTGAAACATTTCCGGTAAATAATGTCGCTTAAATCATCAAAATACCGAATATCGGGAGGAACCTTTATATGGCGTCTATACGAAGGCATGGACCTGCACGGACAATTTTCTGTCTTAGGCTGTGGTATCCATTACGAACTTCAAATACCAAATTTGAAACAATTCCGGTGAAAAATGTCGCTAAAATCATCAAAAAACTGAATGTGGGGAGGTGCCGTTATATGGGAGCTATACAAAGACGTGGACCTGAACAGACAATTTTCTGTCTTAGGCTGTAGGAACTATTACGAACTTCAAATACCAAATTTGAAGTATTTCCGGTGAATAATGTCGCTTAAATCATCAAAATACCAAATATCGGGAGGTACCGTTATATAAGGGCTATACGAAAACGTGGACCTACATGGCCCATTTTCAATACCCAAGGTCCTGCAAATATAATATTCATTTGAGTAAAATTTTATCAATCTACTTCAATTCGTTCGGAAGCTAGAGTGATTTCCACAGGCGGACGGACGGAAGGACATCACTAAATCGACATAGAATTTTATGCTGATCAAGAATATATATATAAACCTTATGGGGTCTAAAATGTATATTTCGAGGTGTTACAAATGGAATGACAAACTGAATGTACCCTTCATGCTATGGTGGAGGGTATAAAAATTGCAGAAAAAATTTCGGATAAGGATAACAGTCGATCATGGAATATGCTAATTGTTACATATAGATGGGAGATCTATGCAGTGCATGCTATTGTAACAGGACTTTGATGAAGGTATGCTTTGGTTCCCCATAGATAAAACAAGTGCCAGACGGACTTGTGGGGAAAATTAACATCAAAAGCCTTTGAGAGGTCTTCAAAACATTGAATGTCTATCAGAAAAACTTTTATAGAAAGGATACCTCAAAGGTTTACAAATAGTAGACCTTATAAATGTCAGAAGCCATCCCAACTATGGGAAGGTCTTCCATAAATCTCCAACCCATCCAGTGGGTATTCTACACCCAGAAGACCTTAAGACATAATTGATTTCTTTATCTTGAATTTATAATGCCTTCGACGAACTAGGAACTGTTTTCCGAACCTATGGCATTTGAAATGACAGAAGTCATCCCAACTATGGTAAGGTTTTCAATAAATCTCCAGCCCATCCAGTAGGTATTCTACACACAGAAGACCGCTCAAAAAGACCTTAAGACATAACAGAGATTTCTCTATCTTGAATTTGTAAATCCTTCGAACTAGCAACTTTTTTCCGAACCTATGGCATTTGAAATGACACAAGACATCACAACTATCGTAAGGTCCTCTATAAATCTCTAGCCCATCCGGTAGGTATTATACACACAGAAGACCTCTCAAAAGTCCTTAAAACATAACTGATTTCTTTATCTTGAATTTATAAATCCTTCGGACTAGGAACTTTTTTCCAGACCTACGGCATTTGAAACTCCTGCAATCTTTTAAAGAATTTAATGTCTTCCCATATTGGTTTTGTCTCTTTCATTTTACGTTTGTTTTCCCATTCTCACATTATCCTTTTCGGTTCTTTTTTTCACTTACTCTACAAATGCTTGGCTTTATTTTTTGTTTCTTGTTTTTTTCGACGTAGTGTAGAACCGGCTTCTTTTGTAAAATCGATTTCCCCACAGCCAAGTTGTTGTAAATTGTTTTTTTTTTCGGCGGCTTTGGTTGTTGTGGTTTTTTTTTTCTTAAACAGGATTTCAACCAGAAAAAAATATGTCACTTATTTCAAAAATTGTGTATTTCTGCAATCAACGACAACAACAAATAATTAACAAATAAATTTTTTTGGCGTTGATATTTTTTCCAGTGAAGATCCTTTCTTTAACAAGGACGAGTGATGACTGAAGAGACAAGGCAGGGAATGAACTTAAGGTACCCTTAAAACGAAGATCTAAGCTAAAGGGCGACAAGAACAACCGCAAAGGATCAGAGGAAAAAAGAAAGGTAGAGTAAATACACCACCACAAATTACTTTACAACGCTCCTTAGGTAGGTAGGACAAGCAAGCGCGCACACAACAAGAAAAGAGAAGCAAAAACAAAATGCATGTTTCCGTTCTGCGTTAAAGTAAAAATAAAAAAGAACCAGCTGTTTGCAGCAGCAGGCATTTCATCAGTTGGCATTGTGTTGCCTGCCATCTTCGAGAAGGCAATACACAAATCTTTACACGATCACACTCTTCTTTGTTATTTTTTTTTTGCATCAGCAATTTCACAGTAAAAACAACAGGAGGAGCAGTTGAACTCTGGCAAAGAAGATGCACAATAAAATATAAAGAATTAGGAATAACCCCTGGAATTCGAAAAACACACACAAAACCGACGGCAGATGTTAAGGTGAATTCGATAGAAGAGGAAAGATGGAGATTACAAAGGAGTGGAAGGGGAGATAAAAGGAAATCATAATAGCAATTATGGAAATTTGTGACAAAATAGTAATAGAATATTGCGAAAGGAAATAGGTTTATATTGGTGGCATGGGGTTCGATGGAAATCTACAGATTCTAGGACCTATATTCATTGAAGATATACAGGTATTCTTCCATGATAATGAATGACTTATGTTTCTGCTGATTTTCTGCTAAAAGAATTCCTTAAATGATCAAATCGGATGAATCATATATATGGGAGCTATAGCTATAACTGAACCGATTTTCAGCAAATTTGATGAACTTGCTTCTGGACTGAATTCGGTCGGATGTGCCAAAATGCAGGTCATTTGGATTGATATTAGCGATTTGCTGCACAATCAACCCGAAATCGGTTGGTGATAAATATGGGAGCTATATCCAAATCTGAACCAATCCTGATAAAATTTAGCAGAGGTATATCTGGGCTGTACCTGATAGCTTGTACCAAATGTCATTCTTGAGGGGTGCATATTACGCATGTGAAGGACTTTAAACCCCAAATCGGATGAAACATATATATGGGAGCTATAGCTATATCTGAATAGATTTTCACCAAATTTGTAGTACTTGCTTGTAGACTGAATTCGGTAGGTTGTGCCAAAAATCAGATAATTTGGACTGATATTGGCCATTTGGTGCACAATTAACCCGAAATCGGTTGAAGATATATATGGGAGCTATATCGAAATCTGAACCGATTCTCAGCAATTTCAATAGGGTTCATCGTTGGGCCAAACAAATATTGTTTGGAAAATTTCATCTCAATCGGATAATATATGCGACCTGCACAAGAATACATGGACAGAGGGACGGACTGACATGCATAAAGTAATTCTATGAAGGTCTTCAAAATTACCTATGGGTCTATCTCGCTTCCTTCTCCATGTAAAAAACAAATGCACGAAGTCATAATACCCTTACCACTGTGTAGTGTAGGGTACAAACATTAAAATACAATGCATGGAAGAGAACAATATGAAGTATTCCTGATAAATAAAGTCTTTTGGAGCCTTTTTGTGTAACGAAGATTTCTAGACGGTCTTCTAATGGCCAGGGGTCTGCAAAGGGTCACATAGATGCAGAAGAACTACTCAAGACCTTCGTGACATTTCTTCTATTCCTAAATCATATATGGCTGTCTCTATATATACTTGTTGCAGGTCTTACAATATCTCCGAAGAGCTTTTTCAGTGCTTCCCGCATAGAATACTATGTAGAGATTTCGTTGAGTTTTTGTTCTGCATAATAAACACCATTTCTCAGAAGGCCTTTTTTACGTACAAGATATTTCTAAAGGTTTTCTATACCTAGAACTTTGAGGTCTTCCATATATCATATATAATAATCATAAATAATAAATGCGACCTGCACAAGAATACATGGACAGGGGGACAGACTGACATGCATAAAGTAATTCTATGAAGGTCTTCAAAATTAACTATGGGTCTATCTCGCTTCCTTCTCCATGTAAAAAACAAATGGTTTTCTATACCTAGAACTTTGAGGTCTTCCATATATCAGCTTTGTGGCTGTCTACCATATGTATATTGAAAGCATTTTGGGCCAGCCATGCATTGAAGAACTTCCATGGGACATCTACACTTGAAACTCCAAAAGCTCCAGGCAGTCTATGTGTGTAGGTATTTTAAATAAGGAAGGACTTGTATGCATTGAAGACACTGATGAGAACTTTAATGTATAAAAGACTCCCAGTAGCTTTTTTATAAAAAAGACCTACTACATGTGGATTGCATCAACAGAAAGTCCTCTATGTATTGCTACTCCAATTGGTAGATATACCCGTGTTAGAAGTTTTTAAGATTTGCAAATTTCTGAAATAAAAAATTAAATGAATTTCTAACAAAATTTCCTAAAAACTATACAAATCTTTGTTATGTTGTTCCCTTGTTTATCTCATCAATGTCATTTTCCAGTAATAATTCCTATTAGCTTCTAAAATTCCATTAAGTTGAAATTTTCTGAAAAAAAAAACTAAAATATATTAAAATGGTTTCCTTGAATAATCTCTAATTTTACAAATCTGTATTGTTTTTTATCTGCGATTTTTCTCTCATACACTAAAATCACAAAATTTTTCTCATCCTTAAATTCTCAAAAAATAAATTCTAAGCACTCATCTCAGATTCTGCAGTTCAAAAAAAATTAAAAATTATTAAAATTTTGTCATGATACGATTTTGCTTTTAATGATTACTTATAGCTGGTTTCTTCCCCATATTTATTCTATGAATCATCGCCATAGAAAAGCACACGTTTCTGGCTACGCAAAATAAATTAAATTTGGATTCACACAAAGAAACAACCGGGCGGCATGTGTGGTCAATCATATTGATGTAGCCTTGTGGACATGGAGTTGAGAAACACGAAAAAGCCATGAAGGGAAACAAACGAAAAAAGAAAAACAACGCAAACACTTCTGGCGCCAAAACTTCAAGTTCATCACACACATTCATTCAAACAAGTAGAGAGAGAGGTGAGTAAATGCATTAAATGGATGAGTGGCGTGTCTATGGACTACAACTCTTTTTAGAAGATCAATAAATGGCAAATAAAGGAAGCAAATTAGATGGGCGAAAAATAATTAACAAATATTAACCGAAGTTAAAAAATAAATGAATAAATGGAAGTTTGTTGCCATGTTAAATAACAGAGTCACAAACTGTCAACAACGTCAAATACAGCAGGTCATTTTAACGAAAAACAAAAAAAAAAAGGTTGAGGGTCGCTGCAAAAAAAAATGCCTAAACCAACCTAACCTCAATCTTTATGAATGACGATTTTATTGAGAAAAGTCAGTATGTGGTTACAAATTAGGGATTTTTTGAAAATAATTGAGCAAACTATCAAAACATTGCCTTGTCTTACAAATTCTATTGATATTTCCATGTAAACATAAAAAGAAACATTAACAACGCCAAGCGGGCGAACGAACACATGTTTTCCTCATGTGCGAAAAAAAAAAACTTTTTGAAATCAACGACAAGATTGTCAGCGTTCGCGTCACGTCGGCAGAGATGTCTGCAAAGCGCAAAGGCTACATTTGCAATGCATCACACAAGAATGCGTAAATGGAAGGTGGCGTCGTCAGCACATAATATAAAGGAATATGGACAAATTTCATCATAATTTGTAATTTCCAACATGCCCTACTCCCATATAAATCGCACTTATTCACGTTTCGGTTTGCTTTTGCCATAGAATATTCTACAAACTTTCGGCATTTTTTGTGATTTTGCACACACACTCACGCACACACATATAAAAATTCAAATACACCGTATAATGAGAACCGACGAAGAGAACTCCACTCCACGCTATTGCCGATGAGTTGAGTAAATGATGATTTAATAAGTTTTTTCTTGCAATATGTAATTATAATTTAAACAATTATTTAATTTAGTGTTAAATCGTTGCACATACTTTTTTGCTAATTCTTTTGTGGTGAATCTGAGGATCCTTGGTGTTTTTCGTGGCCAGCAAATTCCTTATAACACTTGGAACACACAACTTTCAATTGACTTGACTGCAAAAATCCGGGAACGATGAAAAAGCTTGTCTCGTTGACAATTCAATTGTGTGTGGCCGTGGCTACACTGGCGAAAGCGTTGTTACGTTAATGTATGACAAACTGTGTTATCATTTTCGAGTGAATTTCGTTGGACTTTCATTGAAGGCTGTCATTGAAGCATAGGTTTTGTTAGAAAATATAATTTATATTTACATAGGCAAATTAGAATTTCTTTTACAATGTAAAGAGGGGAAATTAAAGAAACTTCAAGAACATTACAATAGAAAATGCCAACGGCGACAAAAACAGTTGCGCACACACACTACGGAGAATGGTATCTAGCTACACATGTTATCATTGTACAGTGAATTTAAAAATTAAAATTTTTAACAATTCGCAGAAGAAATTTGTTGGAATTTAATTAAAAATTAACTGATTTTTAGCTACATTATAATGTAATTTGTATGTAATTATTATAGCAGAAGTACGCATTTATGCTTTCGAAAAACATATGCGGGAAACGTTTTCTACGTCACAACATTACTGCAAAGTGAATGCTTGGAAGAAAGTAAAATAATACATATTTTTGCTTAAATGTTAAAATATGGGGATTTTAGTAGATTCTAATAAGGAACGAATGAGAATTTATTTAGAATATTATTTAAAGGACTGTTAAAACAACAACAAAAGCACGATCAATAGTGTTGTTAACATTTTACAGTGAATTTTTGTTCATATATATGTGTTATCATTGCAAATTGAATAATAAAGAGGATTTACTAGTCTTTGTTATAAACTTTGATATTTTATATGATTATTGATAGTTTTAAGTATAAAATATAAAATGAATTTAAATATTTTTTTAAAAAAGGTACATTTTTTAAATTAAAAAAAATTATTTTTTATACTTTTTTTAATATTTTTGAATTTCTAAATAAATTTGTTAATATTTTTAGCTATTATAAAAGTTTTACAATGCTCTTAAAGTAGTTTTGAGTTGAAAATACATTTTTATGTTTTTCGTAAAGTATATATTTAAAGTTTTGTTTTTAACAATTCTTTGTTTTTTTTTTTTTTAATTTTTAAATTTGTAAAAATTATTTTTTTTGAATATTCGTTCATATTTTTAACAACAGAAGAAGATTTTTAAAATATGTTTGGATTATATTGTTTTTTTTTTTAAACAAATTTCTTGATTTTTCGAATATCGAATATCTTAAATTTACAAAATTTTGTCAATGAGATGTTGTCAAATGAATAATTTTGAAAATATCATTGCATGACTTTAGCTTCTTAACTCTACCATGGAATTTGCAAAAATTAGTTATTTTAATATTTGTTGCGGGCCTTGTAAACGAAAAATCCCAAGTCGACAGCAAAAAAAAATTTACGTGGAAGGGCCTTAGAAAGTGGCCTTTTCGCCTACATGGTGGCCACCAACCATGAAAAACCACTAGCTTCCAGTATGCGCTAGAGTTGGGGAAGCCAGCGGTAGCTATAATGAACACTCCCGGATGGGCAGGCCACTGTAATGCCTCTCGTGACCGCCGTGTTCACTAAGTTTTTTTTTGTTTTCTTTTATGGGGGAGTTAATAATGGAGACACCTGGGCACTGAAAAGGGGGTAAACATAGTGCCAAGTATGTTTAGCCATGCCCAGGTGCCGTTTTGCTTGTTTTTTTTGATTCGTTGGGGTGTAATGGTTTGTCGTTGCACCCTTTATAAAATATGGGTGGACAACTGGATTGTCATGCCATCAATCCATTGCCCACACCGATCGAAAGCCCAACATGTGAAATACAGGAAACAATATTCTCCATCATAGGAAAACCAAATAAACGCTGGGGAATACTTGCTTCTATTGAAAGAATTTAATGTTTCCTGCATCTCATCATGGGGGCCATACCTGCAAGAAAAAAGCTGAAAAGAAAGAAAAAAATATTAATAAAAATTTTAATAATTAAAACTGGAACGATACCGCTTGGTGTTGGCTGTTGGTGTTTTGCGTGATTTTGACTTCTTAGTAATTTTGACATTTGGGTCATATGGTGAATCTAAGTCTCCAAATTTTAGGAAGTGTTCGGACAAACGAAAGATCCGTGTCGGCAAAACAGAGCGTAGAAAAATTGAATGATACTGTATTATCGGCAAAAGGGGATGTTTTTAAGAGTGAAAGTTACTCTTAAAAGGTTCGGAGAAAATGGGATTTCAGAATGTTGCAAAGGGTTTGTTGCAGATAAACCTAGAGGGGGACGACTGGTTTTAGGAAAAAAGGGACAAATCTTGAGGGCTAGGAAAATGGCTAGTAATGGAAAGGAACCATTTTTGTTCCCGAACCTATAAAAGGTAGTACTGATGGGGAAAAACAGATTAGTTATTTAGTGGTGTTGAGCTAAAAAGCCTTTTTTTGAACATATAATCGAAATATATTGACATTTTTATTTGTGAAAAAAATCTTTTGTTTTGTGAAAGAAAAAAAAATAAACGTGTAATTGGTAATTAGGTGACTGGAGGGAGGAGAGAATAAGCCTTAAGTGTCAAAGGTTAATTAAACCGTTTCTTAAATATACTCCGACAAACAAATAAGGTCGGAGTCGGGTACAGACAGCGATATCTTGTGGGCAATATTCACATTAACACCACTGACCGACATTTGTACTTAAAGTGGTAAGTCAACTGTACCCAACGATATAGTGTCACCCGAGTACCATCTATGGGTGGACTGACACATTGAATTAACTCTCCACTCGTCAGTTTAAAGCTCAGCACCCAGAAAATACCCAATATATTTCCAACTTTGATTCTATGCAGTGAAGTCTCCAACCTGTTTTTTTTTTAACGTCACAGTGTTCCGGGATTACATATAAACCTCTAACTATTTAAGTAATTCCAACGCAACGAATTCTTATTCTGACTAATGTTAAAAGGTTGCGGATGTGACGAAGTATTATTAGACTTCATCAGGATTTGAATGGTCGTAGAGGTGACCCTGGAGTATAAGACATATTGACAATTACAAACACATACAACACATTAACACATCACGAATTTTATTAATTTTTTTTTCGACAACCAATTTTCATATTTTTAAGTTTTTTTTTTTATTTATTCCTCTATGTGTATTTATTGTTTATTTGAAATTTATTTATGTGATCTACTGTTAGAGTTAGGTATATCAACTTAAATGTTTTATTGAGTTTTTATTTGGACATTATTAGTTTATGTTCCTAGTAGGCAAGTTTTGAAACTATTCGTCGGATCCCCTTTGAGTCCAGGTAGAAAAGAGCTCTTTTTTTTTTGGTGACGTTAGGGTGGGTCGTATATTCGATAGTATAAAGCATGTTTATTAGAGTAATTCTGTGTTTTGATCCTTATTGGATATTGTTTAGAGTTCGTCCAAAGGACTAAAGAAAACATTATAGTTATTTTCTAATCTGGTCAAAAGACCGTTCGTAAAAAAAGGTTAAAAAAAAAGAGAAATAATTATTACTTTGCTCTATACTCTTTTAACGAGTTATTTTTATTATTAAAGTTTAATTTATATTTTTTTTATAATTTTATCAATACAATTTTTTTGTTAGTTTTTTTTTTTATATATTAGTTTTAATATTAATTATAATAAAATGACTTAATGTATGTTTAAAGAAAGAAAAGAATGAGGATGTGTTAAAGAGTTATTAAGGAGGGAATAAAAGGGAGGTAAGTGGTGTGGGATTGTGCGGAAAAAGGGGTCATCAGGACAATAAAAGGAAGAGATGATCAAAGGTAGGGAGGGCGGCTAAATGGCTCGTGTGTCAACAGACGTTATGGATTTGGATGGTATCATGTTCATCATTATAGTGTTGTTCTTTTGTTGGTGAATTCCCATAGTTTATTGTTGTTGTTCCTGAGCCGGATGTTGGGATGGGACTCACCCCAATGGGAGTCGGCAGAGCTGGTCGGCGATATCAAGACATCTCAGGCTGCCTAAGAGGGACACATAACAATATGGCGCCCAAACCAAAGAAACCATAGGGTTTGTAGAAGTTAGGAAGTGTATTCCATCGAGACACTTGGAAATAGACCACTAGAAGTAAAAGAAAATAGACCAACATTACTACTTTGCGTTTGGAACGACGAATTCAAAGGGTTTTTGTAGCCATTCTGGACAGGTGCCAGAACTTGATGTACAAAAACGTTTGGAGCCCGTGTTTTATATGGAAAGTATGTGATGAAAAATACAGACCAAGATAGTTTGTGACCCGCTGATCAGAAGGTTAAGCGGTTTCGCACAAATTATCTTGGATAGATGGCAGAGAATAGTATCCGTTTGAAATTTAAAAGTGACACAGATTCATTAACAGGATATCCGCTCTGGATTTAACCAGAGGACAGATGTATCCGTTTAGATGATCTGGGAAAGCTGTAACGTCTTCGGTGGGAGGCGTTATAGTGCACGTATTAAATTGTTGTTTTTTTATTTTAATTTTGTGTTAATGTTTGATTGATCCATCAGTTCCATAAAGACCATAATAGCCTGCAACCGCACACACCACTCCTCTCCGAAAAAAACCTCCTGTAAAGACAGATAAAAATATTTATAATTAGAATTGTGTTTAAATTGTATTTTTTGCGTTGATAAAAAGTTGTAATGAGTACAGGGACTAGGTCCAAAGTAAAAGCTAAAAAGAGAGATAGACCACTGTTATTTGATTTAAATAGAACTATAGATAATTCAGAAGGAAAGAAAACAAAGGTAGCCAGTGACTCAACAGAAATGTCTGAAGAAACACCTACAGGTGGCAGTAACGTCCATGATTTTTCAGAAACGATAAATAGCCGAACCCCCATCATGAATTCCCTAGGACCTGTGTTCTTGCAAAGTGCCTTAGAGCGAAATAGAAATGTGCAGAATACAGACCAAATAAAGGCTTTAGAGAATTCAGTTCAGTCTGTCCAATCTGAAATGAACGAAATTAAAAAGGCATTAAGCGAATTATCGATTAATATGCAGAAGATCGTTCAAAATACGGTCCAGCCTACACAACCTCTTGCGAATGTGCCAATAGCTCTAAATTCAAACACCAATATAGC